AGCTCGTAGTGTGGCTTTGTATGTGGCATTTTTTTCTCTGCCGATTCGTGAAATTAGTCTTCGTACCAGTTGTTCTTTCGAGCTAGCTGAATTGCGACTACGTATTCGGTGGTGATACGTAATGAGCGGGAAAGGTGTGAGAGTCGATTGTCGACTTTTGCGATTACTGCTTTTCAACCTTAAGCTTTTCTTATGTTTGGAGTGTTGGTTGGTTCGTTGGTTTAAGTGGATTGTCACCATAGAGGCAGCTGAAGTAATGGTTTAGTCTCATCCTTTCGAGGGCTGGACACTCGCACAGAAAGTGCTCGACTGTCTCTTTTGAGCCAGGGTTATCGCATTTGCGGAAGAACCTATTGAAGGGCAGTCCTATCCTTTCGGCATGCACCCCAACGGACCAGTGCCCTGTACACACTGCAGTAAATTTGTAGGCATCTGTTTTACTCATTCGTTAGAGAGTTTTGGATTTAGGTGGGTCGTAGGATACCCAGAACTGCCATGTAATCCTGAAGGATCCTGTGTAGTCCCACTTCTGTTTGACGTTCGAGTGATACATTTTTGGTAATTTTTGTCTTAATCTCCTTGAGCGAGGCGCCCATTTTCACCGCGTGGGAAACATTCAGTGCGGAGCCGCTCCTTGCTAGTTCGTGCGCTACCTCCTTTCCGGTAGGTTGAGTGATGACTTTAGTTTGTATTGCTCAATGAAAACCCCTGCACCACTTCTGAATTTCCATATTTGGCCCATCCGCAAATACAGTTAACCCCTGCAAGAACTCGGCTGGGTTGGACTGTAGCCGTGTACATCCAGTGCCCAACATTCTCTTGGTTGCATAGATACATTTTACAAGTCTGGACGCAGTGATGAATCCCTGTTTCCATAAGTGCCTCATCACTGGAATCTGCACTGACAATATTTAAGGCTACCTTCATAGTAGAGCGATCTCTCAATTGTGCATACCACTTCATGCCGGGCAGTCTCCGTTGACTTCGATTTCAGTATTTCTTAAAAACTGGTAATCAAAACTCAGCATCTTAGTTACTTTCAGGTTTAAAATTTTTAATGACACAAGGCTTTTAACATTTCATTTAATTTTGTTTGCTGGGTACAATAGCTTATGTTTAAACGTTGTTTACTTGCCCGATGTCCAAAGCATCCATGCGTGCGTGCGTTTGCAAGCGTCGCGACGCTTTAAAAAATTACAAAAGCGAATTGAAAAAAAATAAAAATCATTCGAATGAGCAAACCAGCATTCGAACGTTTAACTCATTGTCGCTTCGAATGGAAAGCATTTCAAGGTCAAGATACAACATCATGCGAGATATTGAGATTTTTTCATACTTTTTTTTTGATATTTGCATTTAATTTTTTCCCTATCCGTGTATTTGCTGAGTGTATGCGTGTGCATAGTTTATTACGTGTGCACTAAGCATGCAAAATGTTGGATTTTTTTCTTCTTTTTTTGACGCTTTTTACTGGCTTTTGTTGACTGAATGAATGGTATTGACACATGGCTAGCAAGCACACATACACACACACACAACAAGTTAGTATATACTATCCATACATAATTGTTAACGTTCGAAGCTTACTGCTTCATTGACACTTCTCNGCACACACACACACGTACACACACTCACACATACCACGTTAGTATATACTACCCATACATAATTGTTAACGTTCGAAGCTTACTGCTTCATTGACACTTCTCCGTCAACCAGTGTTGCCACACTTGAGCTTTTCCTACCAAAACTGGCAAGTAAACGCGAGTGCCACATTGAGCAGCTGTACCGACTGTTCTGCTTGGTCATCACAGGAGCTATGCACATCTGTTCAACGGATGCCCTTGGTGTCATTACAGCCATTCCTCCTTTTTCTATTCTGATTGAAAAAGAGGCTTGCTAAAGCGATATACGGCTGCCCAAAATGATAAGCAGGAAAAGTGGAGATCTCGGGGTTATTTGGAGGTTCTTAAGGTCAGAACTTCTAGAAAACTCTAAGCGATAATAACTACTATTGACGAAGAGTTCGAAATATGGGATACCGATGGATAGACGACGTTAGTGCTGGGGTAGGTGTACTTGGATCAAGATTCCAGAAAAGTTAATGGGCACATACCCAACCATGTTCCAGGCGGAAGCCTTCGAAATTGAAACCTGTGTTCGCGATAGCCTTCGTAGAAGAACAAATAGGGCCATAATAAATACTATGTCGGAAATTCAGGAAGCGTTAAAGGCCTTAGACTCTTTTAAAAC